GTAAATTACGTATTATAATACTTATTGAATATTAGCATATATCTGTGTTATGTGTGTGTTGTGTATCATTATGTAATTTAATTTTTAAACAATTAATGAGACCATCATTAAGATTGCTTGCATATCCTGCATTCTTGAACTCTGTCATTTCAAAGATCAGCAAATAGCGAAGTGGAAAGAAAGGCCGAGGTCTCTCAAAAATAGCTGGATAACTGCAACATTCCCGGCATGACGCGTAAATAACGACAATGTCCAGTGGAGATGGTTGTTTTTAGTATAACCTTGGACGTCCAGAAATCTGGTTCTGGAAATATACGGCGCGTAATACCATGGAAAGGTCAACCGGGATGCCGTCTGCATTATTATAGCGATAGCCCCGGTTGGTGAACGGATTCTATTCTCGTGCTGTACCTTCGTCTTTCTGTTTTTACTCCCGCAGGATTAAGACCAATAAACATCAAGATAACAAAATCAATAACTCGAAATTCCTCCGCAAGAAATGACGACGTTATAAAGATCCGATTTGAATCAACAAATTATCGTTTGGTGCAGTTGATATGTAAATGTAATGAAATGTTAATCACGAAACATTTTAAATGCCAAAAAAATGATTGTCTTCAAATTTCGAATATGTTGAAAAAAATTATTTATATAAAAAGACTAAATATTTAATTAATTTAATTGTAATTTAATTTTAATTATAAATATAAAGAACAGAAAAATATTAAGTTAATAAAACAGGAAAAAATTAAATTAATTTAGTTAATATATAAACATATTAAAAGATGTGAAAAAGATTTTTTTAGAAAAATGCTAAGATTATTCTTTACTTCAAATCTGAAACTATTTATATTTTTCTGTTGATAAAAAATAATTTCTGTAATAAAATTTGATATGATATGATTTATTGTCAAGAGGATTGTTAACTGTGATTTCGAAGAATGCTCGATAAATTATAACGTATCTTATCACTATAAGTAAGATCATTGTCTGCCAAATTTTATTTAAAAAATATATTGTATGCTATTTCTCGAAACATGAAATCCTCCCTTCAAGAACTCGGTTAATTCTTCCCCTTGGAAAGTTACGGAAATAACTAATTCATTGAACCACGAAGAGAAATTATCTTTTGTCTCTTCTAATGCATCAGCTGATCGAACAATCGATTTTTTATTCAAAAGAATAAGATGTATATAATTATATTACATTCTAAACGATAATCTCAGTAATCTCGACTACACATATATCGTATTAAAATAAAAAATTCTCATACTAACAAAAACGCTATGAAAATATCATTCGTTTATTAATGCATTAGTTTGAGTCATCATAATTCGTCATTTTCATCATTTTATCAACGAATCATAAATGGAGAACGTATCAATCGGGAGAAACATGAATGCAACTTTATGCATTAAATAATTCGCATTCTTGAAATACCCCGACCTTTAGTTATTCCTCGATCGACCGAACGCGGCAACCAGTTGGTATTTCACCACGGAAACTGGTGAAGTTATAGATTAGACTGGTTTACAGCCAATACCGAACATGAACGAGATATATGCATATTGTATTATTAGATAAGAATGTCGACAATCGCACAAAAACGACTCAGTAAAATCTCGGGTTAAAGATGCGCAAGTATAGGAACATTTGCATAATATTATTATTATCCTTATTGTTACTTTCCTTTTGTGTATGCAACGCGGTAACGTCGTTTACATAATATCGATATCTCGCACATGTATCAATTATATAATTTTACAAGAATGCCAACACATCTATTATAATTGAGTGAAACTGTTCCGTATATTCTTAGATGTCAACTGAATATTAAAATCTTTCCTAGAAACATCCTAGAACATCCTGGATATCCAGATTTAATATTACCGTTATTTATCGTTACGAAGAAACGTGATTTATGTTAAAAGTTGTCAAATAAATAAAATATAATGGTACTATTAAAAAACTACTTTAATGAAGATAATTCGGAGACGAAGGAAAGAAATGAAGAGATAATACGACAAGCTTTAAGTGGGTATGTAATAAATTTTTTATCTTTTAGGCGAGAAATGACTAAATTCATGAAATTTATTCATAATGACTTGTTTTTCGACATAGATTACGTATTTCGTGTAGCAATAAAAATAGGAATTTAAACCTGGATATTCAAGTGACATATAGGAATATCAATCTGATATTTATAATTAAATCTGCCATATGCAGAATCAAATGTCGCATCTGCAATGATCGGAATTGCTTGCAACTTGCAACATCTTACGCGTAAAGTGAACTTTTCTTTTCGATTATGAGAGATTCTTGATTAACTTGCATACATATTATGTACGTAAATGGGTACGTTCCCAAGTTTTTTCGCATTGCGTTGAAATACACATCTGAGTAAGGTCAAAGTTAATTATTCTATGAGAAAGAAAGAGAGATAAATGTAGCGAAAAATTGGTTAATGTAGGTTTTCTTGGCGAATTGGAGTTCAGGAATAATTTCTTTGAAATTATAATGCTGATAATTATGACAATAGATAAATTATTGCCATAATTATTGACAGCAAAATTTATAATATATATACCATACATGTGAGGTGTAATGAATAAGATTGAATTGATTTTATTATACATGAATAACAATTCTAAATAAAATAAAATTTTATCACCAATTCAGAATTTATCTATTGAATTATAATTGCGAAAAAAGAAAATGACGAAAATCTTAGACTGCTTTCACTGGATTATTTCGATGAAATCACACTCATAGAAATCATTCGCACACGAGATTCCAAGACGACAAAGAGTACGAGGAAGGGGGATGGTAGCGGTTCGCGCGTCGAAAGCACGACGCGAACTTCCGTTCCGGTTACGAAACTCTCAGAAAGCAGTGACCAGCCCCGTTGCTCGCCGATTGCTTGTCGGACGATCGATGTACGTGCATACAATGTATGCGTGCATGCATGTGCGGACATACAACTGCGCCAAGAACGCTCGGGGCTCTCCCTTGATTCGCACATTGTATACTCGCTTTCCAAGGATCCTCAGCATCGTAGAAAGTTATTTGACATTTAAAGGGGTCCGGAGTTTTTTGACCCACCCTGCGCATGCTAGCCGCGTGCCATCACACACACATATAGAGATCGCTACTTTGCGGGGGGAGATACACGCGCGCGCGAAGGTACAGACACAATTCGCGAGGTATCGAGATGACGAAGAGCGAGATGATTATCAGAGATTGCAGACAGGTGTGTATACTTGCAAGAGGAATAAATGTGCATTTCGCCGAAGACGGAACTTGCACAATTAGCTGCAGTTACTTCAATTGCAAATCAGTGCATCGCATCGATATTATCATATGTTGTTTAAAAATGTGAAGAAGAAACTGGAAATTTTATTTAATTATTATAATAAATTACATTTCTCTCTCTTTCTCCAAAATATATACAATTAATTTAATATGATTAATTAAATAATTTAATAATTAATTTAATAATTAATTATTTAATTATTTAATTAATCATATTAAAATAATTTGATATATATTTATATATATTTTGGAGAAAGAGAGAAATGTAATTTATACAAATTAAATAAAATTTCCAGTTTTTTATTCACATTTTCAATAAAATGTTTTAATTTAATTTAATAAAAAATTATACATATGATAAATATTCGAAAAAGAAAGAGAGAGAGAAATAATTAAGAGAAAAATATATAAGAGTGAGAACGCATCAAAATTAGGTTTGAAATTAAATAATTATGCGCAACATCATAATGAAGACTGGGAAACTTTTATCAGTTATTTATTTCCTCAGAAACCATTTTATTTATGATCGAGAAAAACTCGACAGTTTTAGATATCCGGTAGTAATATCCCGAGTTTCACCGTAATTAGGTGGAGCCATTAATTAAATCAGCATGCGGCTCGTAGCGACTATCTTCCGCGCCTCGCTCGCAATTTCCGCAGGCCCGGAATTTTTGCCCGGCTCATTAAGCTTTTAGGATCCGACGATTAGGAACGAAAGCGCAAATTGTTATCGCGATGACGGGCAGCGCGCAGCGTTACAACGTAACGTTAACGTAACTCGCGAAACTCGCCACCCGAAACGCGCCGCGAGAAAGTCGCGCCGCGTTCTTTCTTCTTGCTTTCTCTTTACACATCCGTTACGTAACGAGGAGTGGTCCGTCCGTATGCATGCCACGATACCAGCATTCGGCAGTCCCGATATGTGTATGTGTGTCATCGATCTTTATTAATCCAGCATCTCGGACCGCCCGCGATCTCGCTGAGCCGAGCTCAGGAAACAAGTGCATCGTCGTGCACTTTACATTTCTGCGCTTACATAAGCGGTTACAAGCGGGACCGGCGTTCGGTAACCACGACGAGACTTTAATTCACTCATCTTATCGATCTGTGAAATGCGAATAAACTAGAAATTCTCATTCTCGGATTGATGCGTGCAAAAAAAAGGTAGTAATTTAAATTTATAATTTATTCACTCTCTCCGAATTAAATTCTTACGCGACTCCTGATTTAAAATTTATCATAATATTAGTGAACGCTTCATCATTTATTTGCTATTTTGAAAATAAAAGAGAAACACTTTATCTCTCTCTTTGTATTTATATACCAGAGTTTCTATGCTAATTTCTTATTAGAAGAAATTTCTTCGATATTTTTCTTTCTTATGGATTTTAAAAGATTTCACAGGCTTGATGTATCGTTGCACGAATTAATGTAGACTTTCTAGCATTAAGTGATCCCTTATCGATCCAATTATTGATAAAGTCACCGACTATCTCCGTTGATTCATTACTGATTCGTTGGCAACACGCGAGAAGTTGAACGCCACCAAAGTTGAAAACTCGTTATGAATTAATTATTCGCGTGCGAGACTCTCACTTCAGCGAACTCGCTTTGGCACATTGGTATTATATACGTCTCCGGCGATGATGAATTATTAATGAGACGCATCGTTTTTTTTTCCGTTGCAGGAGATGCGAGTAGCGTCGCTGATTCTCTGCTTGGGAATTCTACTTGCGACGATACAAAATGGTAAGTCTTTCCAGGACTTTCTTAATAAAAATACAATTATAAGAGAGAAAGTTGTAAAATTTAATATTAATATTTTTTTAATTATTCACACAGAATACTCAATTGTGTATAATTCTCTCAACCATCGATTTTTATTGTAATTTCTTCTCAGATTTTTTCAGCAAATAATTAACCGTCGCTTTCTTTTCGCTCTTTCCAAGTTTTTAAATATCTCTTTATAATTAAAAAAAAATATGCAAATTCTTTTAAAATTCTTTTAAAATATCAATTACTCTTGAAATTACATGAAAAATAATATTTTATTATTTATCTGCATTTTTTAATTTAACAACGAATTTGAGCCTCTCTTTTAAATACTTATAATTTAGAAGTTACTTTTTTAATGTCCTTTAATTTGATATTTATCTATGGTTTCTAATAATACCGGAATGTTTCGTATAGTTATATACAAATTAACCAGATTCTTTGCGTATATGTGTGTTCGTAGGAATGGCATGTTAAAAATAAATTCATAAAAAACAATAGCTCGGAATAAATTTCAAAGCGTTTAAGTCTCTCTAATCACCTGCTTACGAAACGAATTCCAGAGCATTTATCCGACAGATGTTTATCCGATGTATCCTAGAATTTTCACCAACGAAACTCGTAAACAATAATAGTTTCCGCGAGAGCAACCGGTGCTGTAACTAAAAGTGAGAGAATTGGAGTGGAATTCGCGAAGGAAAACGAAAGGACGTTCGGATCGCTCGTAAAGTGTTAATTTTATAAACTGAAGCATTAAACTTGCAACATTCATTTTTAATGATAACATTTTTCACATCGCAATGTAAAAGCAAGTAGTGATTTTTCTCATATTTGTCGGCAACTCTGGAAAAACGTGCGATCACGAGCGAGCGTGAATAAGCCTCTTACTCGACATTATCTGTGCGATATTATGTATCTTAATACTATACACCGCTTGTATAATGACGATATATAACGTGGGACTATCATGAATATGCTTGGTACATAGTGAAAGAAAATCTCAAACATACTCGTATCGGCGATCTTGACGATGCAGGTGGAAATAATGAAATTCACAGATTCCGAATTGTTACACATATTATATTAAAAATCCCCAATTATATGTAATTTAAACGACATATTTTATCTAATTTGGAATTCATTCTGTCTGGATTTGCAATTGAATGTATATTCAATTATATATAATTATTATTTAATTGTATTATTATTCTTTTGATACATAATAATCTTGTTACTCTTTTATATTTCAAACGCAATATCTTTGTAGATAAATGAATGAAATAATATAATTTTTAATATTTTTAAATGTATACTGTTAATTTTTTATTTTAAAAATATATAATTACTTATTTATAATAAATAAATAATTGAAATAGAACAGAAAATAAAATGTATAAATGAAATAAATATTCATTCGTTCTAAAAAAATTGTAATAAAATATTAGGCACTTTTATTTACATGAATATATATATAAAGTTTTTTCTTATTTTCTTAAAACTTTATAATGAGAAAAATGAAATCTAGAATTAATATATAATTATAATATTAATGTAATTATAATATTAATTATAATTAATGTATGTGTGGCAGCATTTCATTTTTTTCTTCGTTATTTGGAGAGTTATACCGTATTTGTGCACGAGCGTGTTTTCGATTAAACTCATGACAATCGAAGACACCGCTCTCGATCGATCAATCGTGGATATTTTCGTCGACCTCGCGGAGGTTCTGGTCAGGGTCAGTAGCGGATCTTAATTCGCAGGCATCGATCGTATTGTTTCTACATGATATTCGGCCTCGTTTCATGCCCGATCAGTGAAAGCATGGTGGATAATTCATCGGCGGCTTGAAAGTACGAGTAGCCAAACACACGCGAACTCAGCGAGCCTTCAAAGTCAGCCTTCGAGAATGATTATGCGCGTGCGAAGCAGGGCAACAAGATGCATATTTCTTTCTCTCCCCTTCTCTCTCTCTCTTTATACATACGCAGATATACGCATTCGGCTAATTAAACGCTTGGATGATCGCAGGAAACAATATATCCATCGCGTAATACTATCTTTCGCTTTCGTAATGCTATTTTTGATCAGATTACGTGGCGTTATGGTTCGTTATAGTATTTCATTGAGGAAAGTTAGATTAACTCCCAAGTCACATCTTCTGTGTTGCAATATGATTATCTATTTAATCATGATGTTATAAAAGTCATTTATCTTCATCTTACAAAATTACGATAAATTGAACATTATCATAAAAGATAATTTTGAGAAAATCAAAAGTTTTAAAAAGCAATCTGAAAATACGAATAAACGGAATTAGAATATTTTATTAATTAAAATATTTTATTATTTTAATTTTTAATAGGAAAAATATCCTAGAAATTTATTAATGCAAAGAATGATGAAATGTCACGAGCGATAAAGATTTAAATAAAAATAGTACGATAAATTTCCTATAAATTATGTATCCTTACATAATTAAGATTGCTAGGTTTTCCGAATAAAATTGCACCTAACGAAAAAATGTAACCGGTGTCAGAAACGTACTTTTTTAGAATCAGTTAGCAGCACCTTGCCACGTGAGTTAAAGTCCATATATTTCTTTGCGTACACGTAAACGAAAGTTCAATCGCGTTTCAATTTCTCCCCGTTTTCTCTCGCAACTGTTAACGCGTTCTCCCCGCGTTTAACGCGTCAGTGTGTCATGCGTTCGCAAAGTATGTGTATCATGGATATATGCGAAACGCGTATTGAATGTATGTCGCGCGTATTCATTTAATATGCACGCGTATTCATTTAATATGCACGCGTGTGCATTCAGCGGCTGCGAAAATGCACGACACGTGTCCCTCGCGACACGAGCTAATATTGAAAGATGAAATTGAAGATAACAAGTGCCGATTCTTCGCGCGAGGTGAATACACCGGAATACATTTATCATTGCTGTCTCTTCATTCAATAGACTTCTGTTGAAAGTAGAATAGTTATTATGCGAGAGAGTAATAAATAGAAATAAAACGCTTTTATTTCTCTTCTTTTCAGAAAGAGATGAAGAACATGAGAGAATTTAAATTAAAAGGCCAAATTTTTAAGTATTCTATATAATTGTAAATTATTTTTAAATATATTTAAATCTCCAAATGTTTAAGAAATGTAATTATTAAATTCTTTCGATTCAGTCAGGATTTTGTTGTTCTTATTTTAGGAGACTTTAAATAATTATTACAAATCTTTAAATGCAGTTAAAGTAAGATATAAAGATTGATTTTTTATATTAAAAATAGGGGATTTATTTATCTCTTTCAATACAAATGAATATTTGAAAGTTATATTAAAAAAAATTTATATTTGTCCTGATTGTTATTGTTCTTTCAGGAATTGCCGAGCGCAAAATTGTTTGTTACTACACAAATTGGTCGGTGTACCGACCTGGTACAGCGAAATTTTCTCCTCAAAATATAAATCCGTACCTTTGTACTCACCTAATCTATGCGTTTGGAGGTTTTACAAAGGATAATGCGTTAAAACCGTTCGACAAATATCAAGATATCGAGAAAGGTAATATAAAAATATGTATAATATTTTATTTATTACTTACACTTACGCAACTTTATCAGTTATCAATGAAGAAATATTTAATTAAGATATTTATATCGACAATATTTCAAAAAATTAGACGCTTTCAATTATTAATCATCAATTGTCAATTAAAATTGCCAATGGATTTATATTCGTAATTTTATTATGACCGATGAAAGTTTATTCAATTGTGTAGTCTAAGAAAATTGAAGAGTAAATGTCAGACGCCAATCGAGTGTTAAAAATTTTCTTATTATTCTCAGTTATTATAAAAGACTTTCTTATATTTAAAAAAGTGCTATTTTTCCGTCATCTATCTGAATAATGTTTCTATTTGTTTATCAACGCGTTATAAATCGATAAACTTAGAAATACATCATATTTGATGACTTAGCTGATATTTAACTTTCACTCTTCTATTAACATTCGCTCGCTCGACAGGCGGATACGCGAAGTTTACAGGTCTGAAGACTTACAATAAGAATCTGAAGACGATGCTGGCGATCGGCGGCTGGAACGAAGGCTCCAGCAGATTTTCACCGATGGTGGCCGATTCTGAGAGACGGCGAGAGTTTGTCAAGAACGCCGTCAAATTCCTCAGGCAAAATCATTTCGACGGCCTCGATCTCGACTGGGAGTATCCGGCGTTTAGAGATGGCGGGAAACCGCGAGATAAGGATAATTATGCCAACCTGGTACAGGTAGATGTCTCAACAGTTTCTTATCGTATCGAGAAAAAAAATATGAAATCTCTTGCAGAAACTTCAATAAATAAAAATAAAGATAAAGAGAACAGGAGATTTAATTACAGATAGAAAAATACATGTGTGTAGATAAATAGAATGGTGGAAGATTAATTGCGATTCAATCTTCAGAAGTGAATTGTAAAAAATCGATTAAAAATAATAATTTACGTAAATTGGCAGGAACTTTACGAGGAATTCGAACGAGAGTCTTCAAAGACTGGAAGACCGAGGCTGCTGTTATCGATGGCGATGCCTGCTGGAATCGAATACATAGACAAGGGTTACGACGTACCTAGACTAAACGAGTATTTGGACTTCGTCAATCTACTCTCTTACGATTATCATTCGGCGTATGAGCCCGCTGTCAATCACCACTCGCCGTTGTATCCTCTGGAAGAGGACAACGAATACAATTATGACGCCGAGTTAACTATTGTAAGAGAATTATAATTATATTGTCAGAATTATAATTATATTTTTATAATGTTATTGTTCGAACAAGTTACACAATTAAAAATAATTGATTGACCTCCTAGGATTACACGATCAGTCATCTCCTGGGGAAAGGTGCATCCGCGGACAAGATCATTCTTGGAATACCTACGTACGGTCGCTCGTACACATTGTTTAACCAGGAGGCAACCGAACTCGGATCGCCAGCGGACGGTCCGGGTATCGAAGGAGAGGCCACTCGAGAGAAAGGCTATCTTGCCTATTATGAGGTGATATGATGTCAAATTTATTTAATTTATTTTTATGCTACGCATCAATTATATTAACATAATTCATTTGTAAAATATAATTTTATTTTAATTTTATTTGATATTAATATATATTTCACTTAAAAGATTACATTCAAAAAAAATTAAATATTGAGATTATTATAGATTTGCGAGAATGTAGCGGAATCCGATGAGTGGGAAGTCGTTCAACCGAATCCTAAAGCCATGGGACCATACGCGTTTAATGGAAATCAGTGGGTGGGATACGATGATGAAGACATAGTTAAATTGAAAGCTCGATATGTGAACGAGAAGAAATTGGGAGGCATCATGTTTTGGTCGGTAGACAATGACGATTTCCGTGGCAAGTGCCACGGTCGACCTTATCCATTAATCGAAGCTGCTAAGGAAGCTTTACTTACGGATAATAGGTAAGAATTGTGACTCTCAAATTAAACACATAAATACAGTTTATAATTGCCATATTTTAATCATATTATCGCATTAATATTATTAATTCATTTTTACAGTATTATTATTTCTATTTAATTTATTGTGATTTAATATCTTAAAGATCAAATAGATAATAAAAGCAAATATAAAATATAAATTTGTTTAAAATGTAATTTAAAATAATTTATTTCTAGAACGTTTAGGATAGATATTTTTTATTTTCATTCTAATTTCTCTATTAAAGGAGAACAAATTAAAAATTGTATATTATCGCACAGTAGGAATACGATCGAGAATACAAAGTCAGTGGAGAGTCGGAAAAAGATTCGCACTCAAGGTATTCAGAGCAATGTTCGTAAGTATAGCCAAAGAAGTAGCACCACGTCGGCTCCGATCACCAGCAGACGTGCGTCCTCTTCAAGATTAAAGTACCGCAATATTTCGAAATCGAAAACGAATGACGAAGACGAAGAAGATCGGGATGTAGCAAGGAGATCATACGATCCGTCACCAGACGAGGAAATAGAGGGTAGGAACTCTGTCAGAGTTACGGAGAAGACCGAGAGACCGAAGAACCGGCACAGAAGCAAAACGCGATCCAGCGATCATACCTCTCGTAGAAAACAATCCAGACGTAAAGAACAAAGCAAGACTGACGAGAACGAGGAATCCTTGAGTAACAAATTGACGACTCCTGAACCGCCGACCACTCCCGATCCAGGAACCGGTAAGTTTTCGCGAAGAGCAATATCTCTTTAGCGTGAATTGTTTATTTGAGAAAGTACGATATGAGTTCAGATATGAGAATGAAGAGCTTATCTTTATTACTTAATAAGTATCGTTTTATTTTCTTATAGACTTTAAATGCGAGGACGAAGGTTTCTTCCCGCATCCTCGAGACTGTAAGAAATACTTCTGGTGTCTCGATAGTGGTCCAAGTGGACTTGGCGTAGTTGCTCATCAATTCACCTGCCCTTCAGGTAATTTTTCTATAAATAATAATAAATATAATAATAATAATAATAATAATAATAATAAATATAATAATAATAATAATAATAAATATAAATAATAATCTCGCACATTTAACGCTAAATATTTCCATCTTAATTTCCTTTAATATATAAATTTAAAAAATATTAAATATATAATAAAATTGGTAGGCGTATATAAATAATATAAATATACAAAATTTGCATATAAATAAACGAAGAAATATGGTATATATGTAATAAAAATTTAAATTTTTTAAATTTTCACTTACTCTTATCACTTAGTGCATAATTTCTTATTAAATCTATGCGATTAAAAACCTTTTATTTATTATGATATTTCGTATCGTTTGACATTTTTAGGTTTGGTGTTCAATAAGGCGGCGGATTCTTGTGATTACCCGCGCAATGTGATTTGTCCTAAAACGTCGAAGACGTCAGTCGTCTCGACCACTAAATCACCTATCACAGCCGCGACCAGTCGAACGACTTACTTACACAGCACAACGACTGCGAAGGCCGAATCGGAAGAATACGATTCGGAAGAAGAAGATTACGAGGAGGATGACATCGAGGAAACCGAGGAAGAGGAAGTGAAAGAAGAACCGAAAATCACTACGACAATGAAACCTCTTGTATATAAAACACTCACTAGAAGACCTAGCACGACAACTACTACAAGGACGACGAAACCAAGCGAACCAGAGAGAGCAAGCGATGGCGAAGACGAGGAAGATCCGAGGGTGATCAAGGAATTGATCGATCTCATCAGAAAAGCTGGTAAGTATAGGTTTATTAAAGAAAGTAAAATGTGGCACATTTTTTAAATAATTTTATAATCTTATCAATTTTTTTATACAATATCTTTCTATCAATTTTTCTACTTTTATGAATACTTTTTTATAGTATTTATATTACTTTTAATACATATCAATATTTTTATAAATTTTTTCTTAAATAAAATATCTCTCTTAATATTAAATTAATAATAAATTAATAAATTAATAACTTATAATAAATTATAATAAATTAATAATTTTTCTAACTCATAACAGGCGGAATAGAACAGCTGGAGAAACAATTATTATTCCAAGAGAAGAATTCTGGCCTTAAATCGGACATTGCAAACGTCACTCCGACTACGATTAGTCGTAGTTTATACGAGCGCGTGTTGAATCGCCAGACAACAAACAAGCTCAGTAATAAACCCGTATTATCATCTTCGGAAACTAGTTATGTAAACGGACCGGGAAGAGCACAGTTCGAAGGGTTGGACGATATTCCCGAAGTGAAGAATCTCAGACGGTCGCAGAAACCTCAATATGTCACTATCGAAAGATCTAAGTCAGTCGCTTTAATTCTATATTCGTTAACAAGCTAATACATTTTGTTTTCTTGTATTGATCATGTTTGCCAAGATCAATTAGCTTTTGATTTAAAATGTAGTCTTTCTTCTTAATTTTAATCCGGAAAAATAATCAACTCTAAATCAAGGTTAAAAAATTAACATTATTGAAGCTACAATTCGACACATTCTAAAAATGTTTAATTATATTTCAATTTTTTATACTGATACTGATTAGATCATCAGTCACAAAAGACACAGATAACGAAGATGAGGAAGCTGAGGATAACACTGACGTAGCTTCTACCGAGGAGGACAGTGTCAGCAATCCGTTAGAAAGCAGCTCGTCCACACAACGAGTGACGCCAAGTTACGTAAACATTCGTCGAACGCGACCCTCTACTACGACGTCTAAGTATGACGATAATATAACTGCCAAAATAATTGATTTTTACTCCCGATTACCTTTCATGTTACCTTGAAATTTTCAGAACCGAAAACGACGTGGAAGAGAAGGAAGAAGAAGTCGAGGAGGAAAAACCGACTCGCAGACGACGACCCTATGTCTCGAAGTAAATATATTAAAAATTATATTTAAAATATAATTTTTATTTTATTATATTATTTTATTATTTTATTACATAATCATATTTTGTGTATTATATGTAATAAAATATAAATATGCGTATACACGCATTTAGCATTATGATATATACATTATGTATGTATTAATATTTTTACATAAAATTTCTCTTTATTTTTTAGGAACTCGAAAAAGGAAAGTGATTCGGTAGACGTAGATCTGTCAACGGAGAAAAATGATGCTTCATCAACGATCAATTCTAGGTTTCTATACACGACATTATTTTTCATTGCAAGACTTTTCGCAGCACTATTCACATTATTCTTGAAATCTTTTAGATACACCAACGTCCAAAGGTTTAGAGGCATTGCTTCGAAAAATTCGGAAAATTTATCTAGCGTATCTCCATTGGAGATAACCACTTTGCCAACAAAGCTAGAAGAATATTCAGAAGTTCCATCTAGTACAACAGATAGTACGACTACTTCAGCGTCGACGACATCCACGACGGGCGTTTCGACTTCTACCGAAATCGTCACCGTGATCAGTGTCGAACCGCCGGAAAATCCATCCAGCGTCAGCCCTAAAATAGATAATACCAGTTCTAACACGAGCTCGACGAAACTGGAAGAAGATTCGGTAACGGAAATCTTGATTACGACACTGCCAGAGATCACCTCGTCGACGACAAAGACGACGACAGCGTCTGCGGGTAGGTCAACGATTGCCGCGGTTTCGCAGCCGCGACCATTTGGTTTTACCAGACGAAGATTTAGCTCATCAGAAGCAACGACGACAACGAGCGCTCCGTTAAATAGATCCAAGGTGAGTATATCATCGCGAAATTCTACGCGTCCGGCCAGTCCGTTTCTGGCGCGAGCTCGATCCAGGACGAGACCGACTAATCGAGTTGTCGAAGACGAATCGACGGAACATGTGGACGCTTCTCAAGTGGAGACTTCCACGTTTAAGAGCAAAGATTCAAGCAGATCGCGTAATAGAGGTCCTAGCAGATATACCTCGCCGACATCGAGATCAAGGACGTCAAAAGACGTTTCCACGAACTCCGTTCCAAGTCCCAGATACAGAGGAAGAGGCAGAACAACGATTTCGACGACTGTCAGTACAATCGCCGACACTGATACCAGGAGAAAATATCGGAGACCGAGCAGACTCAGCAGCACGGAATCTATCAAAGCCAATGAATTGGATGATAGTCCGATAGTTAGGATAAATCAGGGAAATCGTAAAAGAAATTCATCGCTTCGATCGCGATTTGAAAACAATGACGAAGAGAGTGATAAAGTAACAAACATCAGAGTCTTCAAGAGGCCAACCGTCAACCGCGAATTGTACGACAGGACGAAGCAGAAAAAGAGGAATAATGTGCAAAAAGTGAACGTTGAGTCGAAGCAGATCGCATCGATAACGCCACAAATTCTAGAATCAAGTACTTCCACGGAGGGCGACAACATCGAAAAGAACGATTTGATAAACATCGTCGATCAAGAAGCCACCATAGTTGAATCTAACACTATCGAACCAAAGTACGATCATGTGAAACCAGTCACGTTAATCGACATCACGACTACCTCCAACAATAAAGTCGATTACACGAGTGACCAACCGGATGATGCTATCGCCACAACGATCACCCACATTGAGACTCACGAGTTTAATCCTAATTTGGTGATAATCGTCTCCGAACATGGCAGTACATCGGAAGCGCCAAAGAGACGTAAAATTATTCTAAAAAGGAGACCAATATCATCGAACAACACTATCGAAGCGGAAGAAGAGCAAAAATCTGAAACATTTCGTAGACGAAAAGTGATAAAACGAAAACGTCCGCTTCAGGACACCTCGTCGCCAACATCAACCGTTTCTCTCGAGCAAGAAGTGCTAGAAAACTCAAGTCCTGTTCCAGAATCGACAACTTCGATAGGAGACACCAAGGATGTTGAAAAATCGACGGTCACCACTGATCAAACAGAAATTACTCTAATGAATAAAGATGCCGAAGAATTGCCAGTTGCCACAGGATATACAAGAGAAATGCAAGATTCGACTCTAGCCATCACAGAAACCACTTTATCCACTGATTATAATCTCGATGATTTCGCGAAGATTATTCTGGAGACTCCCGCAGAGGAAATTTCGACAATCTGGAACAAAGAAACTACTGACTCCTTCAACAACGCCGCTATATCGACAGTTAACACATATACCGATGAAGAATATCAATCGACGAGTGAGATGAATTTTGAAGCTAGTACGATAGAATCAACATTGGCGACAGCTACAATCGATAATACTGAAAGCACTGCACCTTTAGAAGAAACGTTGGTACCAGAACTTGAGAATTTGTCGACGCAAATAGTCACTACGCTGTCCACATCGGAACCAGACTCTACCCGCGCGCAAATAACTACAAGACTATTCACAACGGAATTGGATTCGTCTTCAGTCTCAAAGCCAACTTTTGATCCGAGATATACGCGTAAGAAATTTATTCGCAAGAGTCCTGTGTCTTCGGGAACTAATACGACTAATCAATATCCTCCCGTATTATCATCAACGGAAAACGCTAACTTCGAGATTCGCTCGAGACGCAGAAATAATTTATTCATTCGACGTCCAGTTTCCTCTACCACTGCTAATACACCAAGCGATGACTTGAAATATCAAGAAGAAAAAGAAAAGCAGAGTGCAAATAATAGATCTCGCGACTCGATTGAAGAAGAGGTTGCGGAAGATACGATATTGAAAAATAAGTCGGTCTCTGCGGATGCTCTTTCGGCTAATTTTGCGGAATTCTGGAAAACTTATACAACAGCTTCATCAATAAATCAGATAAGCAATTCTTCAACTCATAACGAGGATATCGACGAACGTGGTAAAATCGCGGAAACAGAAGACACGTCTCAATCGATTTTGACTACCACGAATAAATCGGAGATTCGACCGCGATATAAGATTCCCGTAATTCTGAAGAGACCCTTTGATCCCGAAGAGGCTCTATCCCCCAAACGATATCCGTTAGATTCCGCGCCCGAAGAATCTGAAGAGACCAAAGAAACCAAGCCGAGACAAGCCAGTTTTCGGCAACCGCGAACGCGTTACAAGCTCCAAAATCGCGATAACTTTAAAACCGAGGAATCAACATCGAATCCGGAACCCACGAGTACCTGGCAATACATTAGAACGCGCTCATATTTAAAACGTCCATCATCGACCAGTACGGAAGCAACGGTGACGGAAACCCTGATACCAGCGAGGAAGTTCGATTACGCCGCCGATGCTTTTCATCGCAAACAGCAGTCACTTAGAACGACGACGCCGAGGAGCAACTATCCTTTCGACTCGCAGAATCTGGTCGACCCGGATTACACGAGTCTCACGACCGCAAAACCGTCGGTGACACGATTGATAACCTCCGTGACGGAATCCGGCACCACGGAACGGCAAAAGATCCTCATCAAGACCAAGTATTCGTCGCTTACGTCGACCACGAGGATACCAGCGGATCAGTTCTCCTCGACGATTCCGTCGATCGCGGGGACGGGACTTGACGACGAATCTGTCAACGAGATACGTCAGGGTGTCGAGCGATCCACTCTGCCGATCGAGGGCGAGTTCAATCATCACTATGATCGATTCACTACGGAATCCCAAGAGCCTTCGACCATCGAGATCGAGTCGGTGTTTAGTAATTTGATCGCTAGCAAGAGCTTGGCGAAATGATAGGAGTGTCATTACTAATTGTTGTTGTAATCAATGTTGACAATGTACATAGTGAAGCAGCCATTAAATTAATTAAGAGAAATCCATCGCGATCGCCGATCTTTTTTTTGTGTGGGAACGATGGAGATTCAATAGACTTTTGTACTAGGAACTAATGTATATAACACTTTACGAGCATTAATCATGTTTAAGATTGCTCTACGAGAGATGAACACATTAAACAAATGCCATTACGATCGGAAGAATTCATTAGCTCACGATGACCGACGACTGAATAATCTTCACGCATTATTTATCTCACCATCAATAACGACGAATCATAACGAGCACTTCCTCATCCGCTTATGTCTTTTAGAGGAGCCTTGATTAAGTCCTCTGATAACTCTCTCGACGATGTACTGCTATTTATCACAAGTATAATCATCGCTAAATGCTATCGATGACCCAGGATGACTCCTTATCGAATTAACGCAGCAAACAAGACACATTCACGGCGCTAATAGATAACCAGAGGGACCCCTCTCTTCATGTTCCTTCTTTTCTCCTTCAAAACTGGCGCAACACACACAGAAAGACAGAAAGACAGAGAACGAGAAGGGGATAACAAAGAAAAAAAAATATTAAGAAGGCGAAAAGAACGAAAGAGACCCCTGGGGATCCTCGTATTAAAGCGCGCTGCCTTGTTCTCATTTTTTCAGGTCGCCGATTCGAAAACTATCAGATTGCCGACCCTGAAGGAACTGATTGGTTATCCAACGACTTACTACTACGATCGTATCGCTACGACACCGTCGTCCGCACTCTTGCATTTGCTGCGTAACGATGTGGACAACGACATTAGCCAGCAGAACGTCGAAAAAATTTCGTTCCAAGGAACGAACGAGTCACAAAGTGGCGAAAGAGAGGAATCAGCGAGAGACATAATCGGAGAGGAAACCGGCGACTGGTGGCTGCAAAACAAAGCGAGATCTCGCATTTCGAAGAAAATAGATATCACTCTCGAGGAAGCTCAAAACACAAGTACCCCTGTTATTCAGGAAGATGAGGATGGGCGAAGGGAATCTTCGACCTCGATGTATCTAAGGCCGACAACGATGCGCGGTATTCCTCCTGTCAGTTTGACTTCCACCCCGCGGATACGTGGCTTCTACATCACTAAAAGCGAGGACGATTTACCATCGTCGACATTGACGGTTGACTTTACGTCACCTTACACGACGATCGACAGTTCTATCGAACAGCAGACAGAAATCGCTTCGACTCCCGGCATTTCTGCGACCGAGGAGACCGTCAGTTTCATTCACAATAATCAGAACAAATCAGAAATCAACGATAATATGAATGATGTCGTAACCGACGAAGTTGTCACTCGTAATGAACTAGAACTCGATGCTTTCAACGCCAATGTAAGTGATATTATTAAAAGCAAAGGCGATAAACATGAAGAGAACTCTTCTACGTTCGGTCCTTTGGTAACCTTTTCGGAAAATTCGGACAGTGTCGAGAATTCTTCGATTTATACAGAACCTACGGTTACAATTCCGATCAATAAATCTGTTGAAAATAAAAGAGAAACATCGCTACGTAATTTTGGTTATAATTCGTCATCTCTTTCTGATGTTTACGCCATTGGGCCAACAACATCGACAAGACGAAAAATCGCTATCGCCCTGAACAGATACAACAAGGCTAGCACTCCGTTGTGGACGGGTAAACGTATAGTGCCCAAAAAACGAAACAGGACTGCTATTTTATCAAAGTCGATCAAAGAAGCCGAGAGACGAGTCGATGAGACTACTTTTCCTCTCATTACAACAGATACCTTCAAAAACGCTTCCGCAACCTCTGAGATTCCTTCGACATTGATTTCGACAAATAATAAACTTGATGCGATTTCAACAGTGCCGACAACATTAATTGCATCCGAATCTACGACGTCTGCCGAAATGTTAGATGTTTATCGCGATATTGCGTATTCAACTGATTCAACTGATGATTTACAGACCGAAGATCCGAATGATCGCACGAATGCAGAAGCAACGATTACTTTATTAACTAATATTAATTCAGTAATTGCAACGACTCCTTCAATCTCAGAAATCACTTCAATAACGAATGATTCTACAGTTATTTCGACGATCTCTGACGATTCTACAAGCGTAACTACGATGGCTTCCGCAAACGAATCTATAATTGTGGTCACACCATCATCGATTGTTGCAAAGACTCCCGTAGTTGCAAACGATCAGGCCACAATCACGACTAAATCTATGATTAAGAGCACTGCAATTGAAATTCCAGTTTCCACGACTGCAAATTATTCCGTAGCCGCTGTTCCAACAATCGCGAGCACGCAGGCAATCGCAAATGATTCTGCAATTACACCCGCGACTACGACTATCGGCGTTGAAATCACTTCCCCAATCGCAAATTGTTCGACTGACTTTGCAAATATGATTATACCCGCGACCATAAACGCCGAAGTTGAAGCTACTTCAGCAATTACAAATTATTCCGTGACTGCTATTCCGATAAATACAAGTACGAACGCAATTGTGACGGATTCTGCAGTTACGACTGCACCCGCAATTACAATTAACACAGAAATCGAAACTTCAACAGTCGCAGATCCCGCAGTGACGATTTCAACAGCTATAAATACGCAAGAAATTGATCCTACGACCATAACTACGTCTGCAACTACAGGCACCGAAGCTGAAACTACGATTACAAATCTTCATGTTTTCGTTAATACAGCAACTACGATGATTCCTACTACCAGTACCTTACCGTCAACAATTATCTCTTCCACGGATGATAGAGATGTTACTGAACCTGCGACGAGTAATATACCGGATGTAGATACCATAACTATGACAGATATGTCAACTACGACTACACCTACAACTGTAGTCACTTCGACGATTAGTGATCTTAATTTAATTACGTCTGCAAATGCAAACGATCCTTCTACTTTCGCAGTCACTGACACATCGACAATTCCAAGTTTACCTATCACCAATTCTGTAATTCTGTCCAAAGATTCCGTTACAAGCGCAGATGAAGCCTCAGCAAGTTTAACTGCGACGAGTAATATACCGGATGTAGATACCATAACTATGACAGATATGTCAACTACGACTACACCTACAACTGTAGTCACTTCGACGATTAGTGATCTTAATTTAATTACGTCTGCAAACGCAAACGATCCTTCTACTTTCGCAGTCACTGACACATCGACAATTCCAAGTTTACCTATCACCAATTCTGTAATTCTGTCCAAAGATTCCGTTACAAGCGCAGATGAAGCCTCAGCAAGTTCAACTGTGCCCACAACTTTAATCGAATCTACCACGGCACATTTCAATTCAAATGTTTTTAATATTAGCAACACTTCCGAAGTATCAGCCATCACGGCAACTGCAAAGTCGGTTCAAACTACTGAAATTCCTACAACGTTCGAAACTTCCCCAATATTTACCTCGATTTCAAGATCCCTTTCTAGCACCAATTCCGCGACGTTGTCGACCACCGCTTTCTCGGAAACGAGCGAGAATTTCGTGGCATCAATGGTTACGCAAAATCCCTCGACTCTTTTTTCAACTATAACTCCGGTTACTAATATAGCTGTAGAAAATGCAACGCTTTCCGCGATTTATGACTCGATCGCGACAAACACTATAATTCAAACCACGGGTGTTTATAAATCGAATTCTGTGCAAACGACGAGTGAAAAGCCTACGACTCCGAAAATAAAAATAACTTCCGAGGAAACCGCTTCAAAAACTATTCAAAATCGAGAAGATAAAACTTCGAAACTGAATGATCAATTAGGTCAGAAGAGCGTTAGACGTCGCGTCATAAATCGAACGAACAACTGGATCGGAAGACCTGTAGTACAGCAAACAATCAATCAATATCCTCCACATCGAGCTACGGTGTATCGTGAGCGACTCCAAAGACCTCCTGGTTATACTTCGAGAGTGATCGAGGAAAATCGCAGAAGAAGAATCGTTCAGAGGAGAATGAGAGTTAACTTTGAACCGATCAGTAGTACTACCAGACCCGATGAGAATGTCATGGTTGTTCAAAATATCACTGAGAACTACGTTCAAAATATCACTGAGAACCACGTTCCATATCATCGAGCAAGGAATACGAGAAAAAGAATGAAAATTGTATCAAAGAGAGTCAGGGAAAGACCCGAGGAAAAGGAAATCACTACTTTACGAGAAACGACATCACTTTCTCAAGCTACCGTTACTGACAATAAGACTGAAGCGACTCAGCATGAGAAAGTTCATCATGAAAATGGAAATGTCGAAAGAAAATGGAAATTTTTACTAAGAAGAATAAAACCTCAGTCCCAGGAAAACCTTGCAGCGGATGAAACCAGTGCGAATTTTAATTCTGTTAATGAAAGTCTTACAAGTAATTTTCAAAATAATTTTCGTATGAGCAAGAATCTTTCTGAACAAAAAAACAGGAGAGGAAGAACGAGAGTTGTATTGAAGAGCATTAGACCTAAATCCGAAGAAAGGAGTCCAATCGAAGGAGCGAGAGGAAATCCTGATTTGAAAAAATTTCAAGGCAATTTTCCGACAAATTTTCATGCGAATAAGAATTCTTCTGAAAAAGGAAGAAGAATGAAAGTTTTACTGAAGAGAGTTCGGCCTAAATCTAAGGAAAATAATTCCACAATTGAGGAAACAAATGGAAATGAAAATCTTCAAAATAATCTTAGCACGAGGGAAAATTTTCCTGACGAGAAAAAGATAAGAAGAGGAATGAGAGTTGTGTTAAAGAGAGTTAGACCTAAATTCGAAGAAGAGAAAGTGAAGATTAAAGAAGCCAATGCAGATGTTGATTCCACGAATGCAAATCTTCAAGGCGCTTTATTAAATTTTAGAGGCGGTAGAAATTTTCCCATCGAATATAACACCAGAAGAACAACGAGAGTTGTATTAAGGAATGTCAAGCCTAAATTCGAGGAAAATAATTCAACAATTAAAAAGACGGATTCTGATTCTACTAATAAAGATCTTCAAAGTAGTTTTTCAAACAATTTTTATACAAATGTCGATCTTTCCGACGAAGAGGAGACAAGAAAATTCAAGTCCGAGGAAAAAGATTCGATAGCCGAAGAAACAAGTGCTCATTTTGACTTTACTGATAAAAATGTTTCAAGTAACTTTTCTAATCGAGAAAAAATAGCAACATATTTTAAACATGGAAAAAAGGAAGCTACAGTCGAACGGCTGGAAGACATCGAGGAGCAACAAACGACGGAGACGTTTGTTTTGGCCGAGCAGGATACTGATCAGCCCTCGCTTGAGGTCAGTGCAGTTTTATGTTGAAGACTCTCTTTGCCTTGATAACATACTGTAGTTCCTTGACCTGATCGCATGTTGCTTTACTAAAGCGAAAACGAAACAATGCCGTCTCTTCTTACCGCTAACCAAAAGATCCCTCGAAGCATAATTCTCTTGCAAATGTAGAGAGATAATTATTGCCTTAATATCTTTGCTTGAACAAAATCGCCTGACTGAAGATCTCTTACTCAATATAACATTCTCCTCTTCTGAATCTGCTTCTAATTGATATACTACATCGGCCAACGATATCTTCACGATTGACTAATGGAGAAGGAATCTGTTGTAACTATTGGTAACTTAATGGCTTCAAGCTTTCTTGAATGTCTGACAAGATCTGTCCATCATCGATCACTTGCTGGATCTAACCAAAATATCTTTCGTGAAACAAGAAATTATATGATCATCCTTTATGCTGCTACGTCATCATCGCATTGTCTATCTACGAAGATGCTCTTCTTTCTCTGGTTATTAGCAATTCTTACTTCGGGATGGAATCCGGAACATCAATTTGGAAATCAAATCAATCTTTTTTTCTGAGCGAACATTCTGAAATGTGAATAGATCCGGGACATCTTCATCCGCGCTTCTAGTTCCTCTTGCCACTACAAATTAACAAATTTCTTTTCAAAAGGCGTACCGCGCATTTTTGCGCGAGCGTCCACACATTTCGCTTTTTCTGATATTTTGAACATCTTTAATGCTTAGATTAATATATTTTAACACGCGGAACGTTTCAAACAACACAATTAGAAACAAAAAGAAAGATTAAAAAATTTTTAAACACTTTAAATAACAACTAAAAGATTAGAAAATCTCTTATATAAATGAAAAGATGTCTATATTTAAAAAATTAAAATGTATGTAAAAAGTAGATGCCTATACTTAAAAAATTAAAAAGAGAGAGAGAGAGTATGCAGAAAAGAAGTCTCGAAGATAAAAGAGACTTATATAAATAAAATATAATCTTTTAAAAAATACATTTTAATAAGTATTAAAATCGAGTTTTAAAAAAATTTTTTAAAGACATTTTTAATTATTTGTGTGTTGTCTGAGATATTATAATCTCGAAATCTTCTCAATTCTCTTTATCTTAATTTTTATCTTAAACTTGCTTTTTCTAGAATTGTAAACACATTTATATCATAATCGTGTGTGCGCATTCATATAAACGATTCATCAGGAATTAATTTATCTCTGTCGCGCTTTGCACTATTTGTAGTATTTGTAGTTTATAAGAAAATCAATTATTACTCCAACAGATAAATTCCTCAAAGAATGGTGGATCGGTCAATCGCAAATTAGGACACGCTATTAGACACAGAAAACCGTCGACGACGCCCGCTCCGTTAATCAACTCCTTTCCAAGCACCGTGGCTATTTATCGAAACGGTAGACCAATTGAAACTACCTTTTCATCGAGAGTAGACCTCGTCGGTAGGTTTATGAAAAAAAATTGGTTTTATTTTTATGTATTTTAGATTTATTTTTCAATTTTTCGAAAATTCCTTCTAATATTTTTTTTTTTTAGATGCATTCGAGGATACCAGATCGACTGTCATGCAAGACGATCAAAAGCCGGATGTGTCCGATCAAAGCATCCGCGCCCAAGAATTCGCGGTGACTTTAGCTGACCCACCGCTATCGTCGTCATCGGACACTGGTACATTATACTTGCTAGAGACCACGCCATCCGACTATTTAATTCTTCTAATTTAAAATATCATATCATTATATTACGAGCCTTCTTTTGACAGATCGGCTATGCGTTTCAACTAACAACACTCGATTCACCTCAACACAGCTCGCTTCTTCTATCGGGTTATTTGTGATAACTGTCTCCGTTTAATGAAGATAATCTCCTGAAAGTCGCCAACTTATGTCAAAATGTGACGCTAATCATATAAGAAATCGTATTTTTAAAGGAAATCTTCGCAATAACGTCATCATCTCGATCGATTAATTCATTTATGCGTCATGTCTTTCTCATGACATTCGCTTCAAGCATCTATCTTCTATCTTTTCACTGCGTTTTTTCTTCGATTACGCCGATTTATACGCGGAATTTCTGTTGTCATTGATCAATGTTCGCTCATTTATATACTAATATAATCGTGCAATTTCTATGCACCATTATTCGTGTTTTCTTCTATCTCTTTCTCTCTTTCTTTTTCTTACGGTCACATTCATCATTTGCTTTACTAGGCGAATTAATCACTAATCATTAAATTCATTGACGCCATTGACAGAATAAACGGTACACGGCATAGATTCTTCGGCCGACTTTTAGAGACTCTAAATGATTGATCGATTAAAGAATTGACCTTTCTAGAAATAACTGTTTCGTACCATTACGTATTCATTCTAAATCGGCAAATTTGACAGCACAATCTTACGTGCTCTTGATATTCCTCGTAAGGTTGTTGAACAATCTCGGTTCCTTTGTCCTTCAGCTTCTAAGCAGCCACCGATTCTTATCATTCGATTGATTGACATTTCACTAATGAATCTCACTCTTTCTACTTCGTCACGCTCTCTCATTCTGGAAATCAGCCTCATCATCTGTGACCCGCTTGACCGGTAAACTTACATTTATGCGACAAAGACTAATCAAGTTCCACAAAATTAGGTCGAACGGTGTTAAGGGACGCCGCAAGGCGCAAGATAAGCACTACCGTAGCGCCTAGAACAGATCCGAACACGATTGACAGGACGATTTCGAGATACGATGCGGACTTCAGGAACCGTCAGAGACCCAAGACGCAAAGTACACGACCTATAGTGAATACTACCACGAGACCCAGAAGACCGTCGGTGCTCGACTACGATTATTACGAAGATGACGTGCCGATCGTTAGCGGCAAGTCTTTCCTCAATAGCAAGCTCTTCCTCACGAGTAAGGGTACTATACGTTGCTTGGACCAAGGCAACTTTCCGCATCCTTACTCGTGTAAGAAGTTTATCACTTGTACGCGTATGCTAAACGGCCAGATAATCGGGACCGAGTACACCTGCCCCGATAAGCTGACCTTCGATCCGGTCGGTGGTATCTGCAATTGGTCCGCCGGTCTCGGTTGCAATAATTGATCGATTCTCCTTAATTCACTCGACAGTCTCTAACGTAAAAAAATTATCTCAGATTTGATTGCACTTGATGTCACTTAGAGCTTTCTTTGTTCGGATAAATCCATTTAACTATTCAAAACACACACTATTAAAAAAAATAAATAAAAATAAAAAAAATAAAATCGGAAAATTATAATTCGATCTAGATTTTTCATTTTTTTAAACATTTTTTTGTACCTGATTCGGACAATATAGGATTAAATAATCTTATATTCACGTCTTATAACACGTTCATATAATACAAATAATATTTGATTACATTTTTAAAAGAGGTATAGTTCTTTAATTCATTTCTGCTATTTAGAGCGAAAGATCTGAGAAAATATTTAACTGTCGAATGATTCCGATTATCAATCGCATATTTTTTCGAAGATAGACATTTTTAACATACAAGGACGATTTTCTCGATTTAAAATTAAGAGTGATTCAGAGAAAAATATTTTTAATTTTATAAAATAAATTTATATAAATTTTATTTTGATTCACCTTTCTGCCTTTGCAAAAGTTTGAGATATTACTATTTTAGATTTTTTAAAACTTTGCTATCATCGCAGCATAAATGATAGCATTCTATAAAAATCATGTTGAAATGATGTTATGATTATAATTATATATTTAACGATAATGTTAGGAAACAACCGTAACTAGATTATTTGTTCGAGGAGACTAGAATCGGTCTCATCGAAAAGGCAAAATAACTTCAGTTTTTTTTACCATTTCCAAAGATAATTTTTTTTCTATATCGTGACTAATAATAATAATACAACGTAATACATATCAAACGCGACTTCTAATATTTTAATTTCTCTCATATATAGTCATTTCTCTTTAATATAAATTATAAATAATTTAATTTTATAAAAAAAATTTAATTCTGTTGCCTTTTCGAAGAAATTGATTCATTTATAGTCGCTGATGCTACGAGGATGCGAAGAGGACTATTTTTAGATGCATTTAGTCTAATAATATGTATCGTGTACTTTATGTATTACGATCGTATAATAGCCATATATAATCGGGCGAAAACGCACAGAGCAGTGATATTATCATTAAAGTCTCTTTATGTAAATATTAATAGAATTACGTATAAGAATAGCATGTAAGATAACGTTCTTTTCGCGTAGCGTACCAAACGCAAATTTATCCGTCAATTTTTACGCGTGATTGTTAAATCCTCCTTAATTTTATCTTATGAAAGAGATACGGCGATGAATAAACTCTATTCGATTCGTTCATAGACTCGAGTCCGATATATCGAATCTGTATGTATCGAAAATTTTTGTACTTTGAATAAAACGGCATTTAGTTTAACCACACACACGCATTCGTTGTACATGTTTCTAAAATTAAAAAATGATTCATTAATATAATATATAGTCTCTTTACTAAATAGGTATTTCCTAAATAAGTTACACAATTATAAAGCAGGTGAGTCGCTTTAATTTATCGAGACATTTTCGATAAAAGTATCGAGAAAGAGAGACATTTCGAATACGTTTTATTAAAGATAAAAAAATAAACTCTGCGATATTTTTTTCAAAGATTTCTTTATTTTCCCCGATATTCTTGTCTCACAATGTTATTTGTTATTAATCTAGTTTAGGAAGATGAAATGTGGGCAAAACAAGTATACAATAATAGCTGATAAATGTAATGCAACGCGAGGCGGCCGTGCTTTTAGTAAGGCTTCCATTTTCGAATTGTCGCAATTTCATATAAATATTGTAAAATAATAATAATAATAATAATAATAATAATAATAATAATAATAATAATAATAATAATAATAATAATAATATAATTACAATTACGTGTGTATAAATGATGATGTGTATTTGTTTATTTGACAACTGTTCAGTAACAAAGTGTTCAAAGACTTTGTTCATCTCTGTCGAATACTCGAATTTCATCTTTGAAAAAAATTCGAAAGACTTTCCCGGTAGACCTGATACGTATATATGTTTCAAGATGAACGCCTTCCTTTTTTACGTATATTTCTTCTTGTTCAGTGTACATGTACATGTGAGAAAGTGCGTGTGCGTGTTTCGTCGTTTATCATTATTTAGTGTATACTGTTCCAGCAGTCTGTGTTCTGTTTTGGCGTGTTTCTCGTATATTATTTAACTCTGTGTGCCCAATATGTAATACATATCGAAAGAAAAAGAGAGAGAAAAAGAAATACAAAGGAATGAGAAATTATGTAAATTTGTGTAATTGGAAAAAAAAAACATTTAAAAAAAGATAGATATTGAGAAGCGTATTAAAGCGCAACAAGCGAAACGGAAAAAGCTTACAATATTTACTCGCCGATAAAAATAATTGCATTTCACACGCGAACATTTTTATCGAGAGAATGACTCTTCCACGATGGTTCGAACAATAATAATATAATGATCGGATGACTTTGACGTCACTTTTGATATATAGATAAGGCTATTCAAAATGTGATACGAGAAATGGCAGCTGTGGTCAGACATTTACATGGTGGACTCTATATTACAATTAACGCCCCTTATCGCTTCTTGCGCGATTATTTATAAAAATAAATACTTTGAGAAAAAGTATTTCGTTAACTATCGATAAATCAATACACATATCGGAGCGATATATAATAAATAATAATTAAAATCAAATAAATAAATAATTTGCTTCGTTTAGCATATTCGTTTCTCGCGTATCTTTAGTATACGATTTACACAAAGTGTATAAGGTGAGACGCAGCTTAATCCTTAAAGGTTCGTAGTGCCACGCTCATTAAAAAAATATGAACATTATTCGATTTCGAACATACATTTTCTGGATACTTGGCGAGAAGGTCGATTTATCGTTAAGACTCGCAAAGTTCGTTATTATTACTCTTCTGAGTTTTAATATTTCATCGTTTTATTCGTATATTTGTGCGAACATTGATCTATGGCGCGAACCGAATATCAACGCTTTCGTAACGTGTGCATCCAATATACGACATAGAATTTGGCAATTTTTGAAAGGGGGAGCACACTTTTTTTACCGACAAACATGATACGATTGGAGAATATAATAAAGATATATACTGGATTCTTTCATCAGAAAAATCTAATTCGAAAACATTAAATTCGTGTCACGCTACAATGACAAAATCGCAAGTCTAAAAATATATGTTATATATATCTTCCATTATATAATTATACAAAAAAATGTAGAATATATTGTAGAACTTTAGAATAAATATTCCAATATACATAGAGGAAATAGCACTAGTACTACTAGTACTGCTACTAGTAATAATAAAAAATTTTGGAGAGCCTCTAGTATCAATGCACTCACTAATTGCACATATACAAATATATGAGCTTTCCTTTTTGTCATATCTCAAGCTTAATAGCTTGATATTCTTTTTCGGGACGTTCGCAGAGAGGAATCGTACAAAATCTTACCTATCAATTGGCACTTGCTTTCCCGAAAGAGAAAAAAAAAGAATGAAATCCAAATTGTTCATTTTAATGTAGGCTACATAAAAGAATAAATATATAGCAAAATGTTTAGAAGAGTATAATATCAATTTCGAACTTGGTGTTATCAATTTATGTGTTAGAGAGTTTCTATCTTTTTAACGAAAGGTATCCAAATATACCATATTTATTATTGTCGCATTAATAGACTTATGTAAGTACGTAATCTTCTTACTCTCTACGTACATCTGATATGTAATTTTTATTCGTGCGCGAAAGATATTCTGATGGAAAAGTTAATATTTACTTTTCTCTATACGACACACTTAGATCCCTTTGCGTTAAAACGACGTTGCTTATTCTTTCTTCGCTCTCGATGTTTCAACAGCCTCTAATATGTATGCGCGCGTATACGTACACAGTTATTAATATTTAGCGTAATGACTGATATCGCGTATGTATTGTACTGAGAGCTCCCGTAGCGAGCTCCATTTTCATTTTAAAACATCGTCACATGAAAATATGTTGATGCGACTAAAACAATAGGAGAAATTTTTAGGCATTGTTTGCCTATCAGCTGATGTGTACACCCGATCTTTTTTTCAATTTTGATTTCATTATGGTTTATCTACAGATCAGATTCGCCGTATAAGGCCGTCGAGAAAGAGCGATAATCAAGTGCTCCAGGAACAGCGCTCGGTCCTTTGTATGGAGGCATTCGTTGGATACAATATTCTGCCTGATCAGGCGGTAGTTCCCTCCTTAATTCATCCGGTAAAATGTAAGGCTAAAAAACAAAAAATTTTATGTTGATCGATACGCCTCGTTGTTTTATTATTGTGAAAATTATTACTGCAAAGAGTTTCCTCTTACCTTATCACCAGCAAGAATGCGGAAGCTGTCGATAACTTGTTCTGCCGTGTCGGTGTCGGTGGATTCACGCGTCATGAAATCAAGGAAGGCGTCGAAATGAACATAGCCCGAATTGTTGGGATCAACAATGGCTAGAATACGTTGGAAGTCAATGTCGCCCTGCCTGTCCTTTCCGATGGAATAACCCAGAGACACGAGGCAAGATTTAAACTCGTCCGGTGCCAATCTCCCTGTCCTATTCTTGTCGAAGTGATTGAAACTGCTGCGGAATTCATTCAACTGTTCCTGGGTGATACCCTAAAATGGAGAGAAACGCGATAGTTTTTATTCTTGAAATTGCTCTGCAGAAACGTATAAACACATAACAAATATACATATACAAATAAAATAGAAATTTTTGTAAAAATTTTGTAGAAACTTTAGAAATGGCAGTTTTTTTTAGAGAAAATTTAGAAATACCTTTGAATCTCTGGTGAGAATTTGATTCTCGACTTCATTAATGTTACGGTTGATTGAAGTTAGAAGTTGTTCCCAACCAACACGTAGAGTTTCCATGGTATACTGAGTATAACGGTTTTCGAAAATCATGCCCTCTTGAACTGCTTGATGAATTTTCTCTAATTCTTCCAGATGAGCCTTGTATTGATATACCGCCTGTTCGTATTCTTTCAAACGATGTAATTGATCCTCAAGAGTTCCCTAAAATATAGAAAAATATTTAAAAATTGAATATAAACAATGTAAACTTTTACATATATAATACAGATGATATTTATCACCTGAAGACCGAGGCCAATCGCAGTCACAGCATCCAATTGACGTTCTATCCATGGTCCAACAACATTAGCTTTCTCGGCAAACTGTCGTCTAAGTAATTCATTATCTATTTTTCACATTTCAGGAAATATCTTTTGACACATATATTTATGATCATTGAAAAGTATGTATCATTCAAACTTGTAATAGAAATTTTAGCGATATTAAAATATGCCGATATTAATGTTAATTTTCAGATAAGAGTCTTGACATTATAATAAATATAAATTAATAAATATTAATGTCGTCAAAGGATACTTTGTTGTTTGCGAAGTTCAGCAGCTAGAGTACCATCACGTTGAGGAACCAATTGTCTAACGTCGCTCCATTTCTTGGTAAGATCCTATAAAACAAATAATAATTGCTAAATTTAAGAGATTCTTCTCTATATTATATATATATATATATATATATATATATATATATATATATATATCAATAATTTATCCTTCAACATACCAATGCAGTGAGAGTGGTGTAAGGATTCTCTAGGCCACCCGGAATCTGGTATTGCTTAACTATGGATTCAACTTCGCGCACTAATCCCACAATCGAGTTGTACTCCTTGTCCGCTTCGCCGAGAGTAGCTTTGAACGCTGCGTGCGCGTCCATTAGGCCTTGGATCTCTTCCATAGTGTGGACGATAAACATGTCCACTAAATCTTCTCTGGTTCCATCCAACCAATTATTAAACGGCTGAAAAATGTCAGATGTCAGACATTATGTCACTTCTATTAAAGAACGGACATATATTGCATCTGCAAATGTAATCAAGTTGTACTCACAGCAGCGCGTTTGGCAAACTCCAAATGCAAGACGTCTATCTTCTCTAGGATTTTCTCGGCTTCGTCGAGAGCTTGACGCCTACGTTGAGTGAGCGTACCCAAACGATCCCACTGATCGCATATACGTTGGCACCTGGCATTTACGGATGCGCTATCGTGATACTCGAGGGTGCTGTAATTCAAAATTCAAAATTCAAAACGTAAAACGTTACAATAATCAAGATAATGATCGTCAGAAACATAAAGGTTTTGAAATTACTTGAGCTCTTGAGCGATAGCTGCGATCTGTTCCACGCGATCTTGATGCGCCGCGAGATCTGATTCAAAGGCCTCATGTTTTTTCTTCAGAGCCTTGAGCTCATTCAGCTTACACTGTCGGAAGTGTTGAGACGTCAGCATCTCCTCTTTACCGGCGGTCCACTCCTCATGAGCATCTGCCTTGTGCTTGAATTTCTGTGCCAGATGTTCCAATCGCTCTAGACGCATCATCTCAGACAGCAACCAATCCTCGAACGTTTTCTCGGCTAACTCCAATCCTAAGGATCATTTTCGACATGCTCATTATTCCATTTAGACATATATACAGACACACGGAGAGATGTACTCGAAAAACAAGATAAAATCGTACCTTTCCACGCTTTATTTATGTCGGATACCATTTTTCCTTCCGTGGGCATGTACGCTGGTCTATTGCTCAACCTCAGCTTTGTTTGCAAAGTATTGAAATTCGTTTCCAGTTTAGCTTTCTGTTCGACGCGAGGCGGCTTGTGCTTGCGTCGATACGTCCTGTATTCTTCCAATTTCTTCTGACACCCGGCGAGGGAATTGTCGGTTTGTCGACTGGCGAGCCATGGCATTGTTCGTCGTATCCATTCGAGCAGATCGGAAGCCAAACGCTCATACTCTTCCATAAGACGCTCATTTTCTTGATTTACCTTCAATACTTTACAGATTCTATTAGCCGCCGTCTCTGCCTACAATAAGAAAATTCGTATATAGTTTTCTCTTATCAAGAAAAATATTTTTATTTACATCTATACGCGTTTGAAGTAGAGAGTTTATTTTCATCAAGATGCATGAATATTTAGTTGTAATTTAAAAATGTGTAGAGAGGAAATTGATGAGATAAATAAAAGTTTGACTTTTGCGCACAGTTTGACATTTGCAATAACAGAGATTAATGATATTTTTATGCACACTCAACTATCTGTGTTGTGAGTTAATTCGAAATGCAAGAAACACACCTTTTGAGCACCGCTAAAACAGTGGTAGTATGACGAAACATAGGTCATCACGGCCCTCTCATCAGGCATTGCTGTGTTTCGCATATCTAGAAAAACACATTCGAAAAAACTCAAACCATGCGTTGTTAGCGATTCTGCCGTTAAAAATTGATTAATTTTAACAATAGACGAGTCTAGTGAAGAACGAAATATAATTAGTACATAATTTATCATATTAACTCTCAACATATCTATATTTTATACATATGATCAAAATGTACATGTGCACACAACGATCTTTGTACATATCGTATTAAAAAAACAACATAAAATTTTATTTTATAATCGTAATCTTATAACTGAAAAATATTACGTGACAGAGTGCGTAATTGATTTCAGGTCTGAGAGGTGAAACAATCAAATTAAAACAATAATAAGATAATCGATTAGCAAGTTCAAACGCCGTTAATGATATAAGCAAAACAATTCATTTAATTACAGTTCATATTAATGAGGGGTCAATTTTAACAACGGAGAAGGGGAAACAAGGAGTAAAGAGCAACACGCATTTCTTTACGCTGACCTGCTGGGCACCTTGGAACGCGTGGTAGTAGCAGGACACGTACGTCATAATAGCTCGCTCATCCGGCTTGGGAGTGTTGATCAAATCTATATGATATCAAGGGAACATATAAACATTAAGCGTTTGATACTCGTCAGTTTGATACTCAAACAAGTCCGCGATTGTAGCTCCGTTCTGTGTCCTTAATTTCGATAATTTCTTCGATCCTGTCGATCCGAGTGACGCGTGTGTCTTTCATATATTCCGAGAAGACACATAAAAATATATATCGCAAGTACCTAAATACACAGCGTGTTTTTAAATTTAACCATTTGATTTATGCTTACCATCGGGATCTAACATGCGAGGAATGTCGAGGTACTTTTCAGCGACATCAAAGGCAGTGTTTAAATTCTCCAGCGGATTATCCTTGCTGAGTTTATTGTAATCGATCAAGTCGGGTCGATGGCGATGAATGAGGGCGCAGAACGCGAGGCCGTCCTTGAAGGACAGGTGGAAGTTTTGAACGTTGACGTTCTTGTACGGGGCCGTCTTGCGCTGGCACCAGAGCAACAGACCCTCTTTCGCGGTCATTTCTTCCACGGAGATATCTTGGATCGCGAATCTTAGAATAATGGTCCATATCATTCCCAAGGTCATTTTCAGATTGCCATCGACAATTTCTGTTCAAAAGGAAAATCGTCAAGATTTTTGAGAAACATATGACATGTGTGAAGACAGTATAAATTAATTTTGCATCATTCTATTGAAAAAATGTAGAAGTGAAATTACTAGAAAGTTAAAATCTCTTCATTTGATCGTAAAGTATACATATATTAATAAATATTATATAATATATTAATAAGTATATTATTAAGTATATATTAAGCAGAGAGAACGAAAAAAAAATTATTAAAACAGGAATTATATACGATTTTATACGATATTTAATTACTCGATTTTTTATTTTAAATGTATGCATTAAATAACTATGATCATTAGAGGAGAGAGCATAAAATCTTCTTAAATAATACATAAAATGAGCTTCAAAAAGAAACTAATGTACCTTCTGCGCCAATTGAAACCAGCTTGACGCCCTTACTGGCGATATAATCGAGGGCCTTGTTCACGTTGGCGATCTTGTGGAACCTCATTTTGCCTCTGTCGGGTCTTGGGAGGGTTTCGCCTGAGATCACTTCAAGTAGCAACATGAGTTTCAACCCATTCCTGAAATCGTCTTCGATCGATTCGATGGCAGTGCCTGCTTTGCGTAGATGCGAATTGCACCAAGCTGTGAATGTCTGATACGACAAGAATTTATTAATTTATGTTTGAATTTTCTGTAGATAATCATCTTATGCTAAATAAGAGACAGCGACTAATAACACGTAGAAATGATAATTACGAGGTAATTACAAAGTGACAGTTTGCTCAAAATAGTTTACTTTACTAATTTTTGCCCTAACAATGTTTTCGCACTAATCTCATGAGCAAATAATCATTTAAAATAGAGGATTGGGTTTCTCTGCTATACTGCTTAGTGTATATTTTAGTAGACGACCCCGATCCCTCCCGCTATATATATCTTCTGTCCTGGTTCTTAAACTACGTTTCCTATCATTCTCTGCTATGATTTTCGGATAATCTTTTGATATCTTCGCGTCAGAAAACGTTATACGCTCTTATTAAATTTTTCTTCTTCGCATACGAAAAATAATTTTTCTGTTATTTTTTTTAATATTCAACTATTAACAAACATACGTCAAAAGTAATCTCGCGTAAACTTTCGAGCCAGAAATAATTATTTATACGTTAAATTCAAATAATTTCACAGAAGATTTAGATTATCACATAATGAATCAATATTTTTCAAAATATTTCCATTTTCGCGAAAAATTATCGTTGTAAATTGCGTTTATATTGCAATTAAATCGTTTTGTTGATTTTGCATTTCTAAAAGTTTCGAAGAAGATAAATCGAAGATCTCAGTTGGCGAGATATTTATCTGAATGTTGTTGAATAAAGCTTAGCATTTAATCGAGGTCGATAAAAAATTCAGGGTCGGCGATGAAATTTTCGGGTTGGAAAAATATTGCGTGAAATTCAATACGGGCGGCGTGAAGCACGACGGGCCAATTTTGGACATGAGCCACCCTAACATCTCTCTGCACGAGCTCTAAGATCTATTTGTAAAACATTGACTCCTCCCGCGTCGAGTATTAAAGATCATTTCGAAGAGACACATTTTGGAAGTTATTTAAAAATTAAATCACATCCTCTCTCCTCCTGTTATGTCATTAATCCGTCATCGAGTTACATACATTGTTCTTCTTCTTGATGACAAAAACGCGCGAATAAATCCATCCTCGCAAAAATCTGTTTAAGTCGAACATTAATAGAGTATTAATAGAGCATCACCGATTAATAGAGTAGTACATATTTTAATTCGTTACTGTAAATAAAATAAATTTTTCATCTTTCATCGCGATATAAAAACGCGCAGAATAAATTGAAAAATTGCAATTTTATATCGTATAAATTAAAAAAATATATATATCGTCGTACGATATTTGCGGAATCCGTAATTTGATACGTCGTCTGACAATCTTACGTATGTGTACGTGTGCAATGAATGATGTGCTGCATCGATAGAAATACAGCTATGCGCAGCTTGTAATTAAAAGGCGTTCTCCTTGTCATGTATGAAAGAATGCGATAGTCTGATATATTTGCTGATAATACATTATTTTTATTTCCGTTCGTTTCTGCGACTATCGAAGATTCGCATTCGTTTTCCAGCCTACGCCGACGAGTATACTCGACAATTTTTTTTTTTTTTTTCGAAGACAATTTATGTGACGAATGATATAAATATAACATCTCCCTCAATTTATATTATGTAATTCATGCACGGATTCTGACCGAGTAGGCGATCGATCTAGAAAAAAAGTGCACGATCTCCTCATAAATAGACGGCTATTTTTATGAATTATTTTTGAGAATCGGGATTCTTATTTTGTCCATGAACATTTAATTTAGGAAAGTATCTGAAAAAAAAATTAATCTATTTATTGGTTTTTTATTTGATATTGACCTTAAAGTAATTTATTATCGTCACATTTATTAATTATACTAATCACATTAAATAGTCTGAAAAAATGTTTTTATCTGTTTGAATTAATTTATAGAGAGCTGATTTAAAACAAATTATTAATAAAGATTTTTCTAATATATGTCTAATTCTTTTCAAATTATATTTTATCTTCTTTCTTTCTCTCTCTCTCTCTTTCTATTTCTATTATTTTATTATTATCATCTAACGATTTTATCTAATTATCATATTAAAAAGATTGAGTAAATCAATATATCATTATAAATTTTTTTCTTATTCGTGAGTCACCGCGTCTTTTTTATTTATAAATTGATATCACACATATTAATACTACAAAAATAGTACGATAAACACCATCATTATTTTCGATACTGCCTGTTATTTTGGTACGCGAGACAAGGGTTTCCTAAAATTCCTAAATAACAGATATAATTAATTAAGTATATAATTCAATAATGCTTATTTAATTAAATTAATTATATTAATTAAGAATTTTATGCATTTTGTGTATTAATGAAGAATATATTTTTAAGTCGCATAAATATAATAATTATATAATTAAATGTATTTATATATGACTCTAAATATATATCTTGCAAATTCGTGGATAAGAAAAAAAAATACTTTACATATTTTATATCTAATCAAATTTTACAAATTAATACAAATTTTATATCTAACTTGCACAATTGTAACTTTTTCATTTTCTAATGCTTACTTAGCATGATTTCGTCAGTCTTATTCGCGGTTAGGCGGTGTATCGACTATAAATAAATACAGTTATACAAACAAAGCAGCCTAAATCCTGTGCGCATAATTCATGTAATCCAAGTCTCGAAATTCCGCACGCGGTTATGCACGCTAATCTATTTCTATTCCGAAAGTTTGGCAGTAGTTTTCGTTCGCCTGTATAATTCCTATCATCCTTATCGGATTGCGTCGTGTCTTATCAAAATGTATGCAGCTTAACCTTCAATAAGACGCGACGCCGTTCGAGGCGAAAATATTAGTGTTTATGCGCCTCAAGATTTGCGGAATCTTTGGCTTAGATCTCTATCGTTGCTTGTTTTCTACCTTCTGCAATCTGAGAATGCACAATTTCATTACATTGCATTTAAACTCTTGGTAATGGAAAAATTTAGTTATAAATTAATTTCTTCGCACGTATTTTTTCGACGATAAAATAACTTTTAGAGTTGTTAATTTATATTTAAAAAAAAGAGAATAATATTATATACATTTCTCTTCTATAAGCTATATTTGTATATTTGTATAAATATTATATATTTAAATATATATTTAAATATATTTTGTATATATGTACAAGAAAAAGAATGTATATATATATATATATATATATATATATATATATATATATATATGTGTGTATATTTTTCTATACTCTGACACACATATACATACACATCTTTCGAATTAAATTTGCTTCTTTTCACAATATATTATTTTATGTCGTTTACAACTAATATGGGACAGATATTGAAATTTAATTACATATAATTCTAATTTGAAATTAAAAGATACATGTAATATAAAAATATTTTTTTAAAAATTTCTCTAAATTTACTTTTACGTATAAATTTTTTTTCCAAAACATATCTAATATATATATATATATATATATATATATATATATATATAACATGTTCAATATATCTTTTCAATTAATAACTTTTTTCCAATAATGGATTTTTGTCAAAGAATTAAATTAAATCTGGAGCACTACTATCAAGGAATTATATTGTTATTTAAAGTATCATTGATAATAGATAGCCTTCGATGAGAAGCAAAAATTGTAACAACCTGAATCGCGGGATATAGTTACGTGGGCCGGAAATGAGATCTGTAATTACAACTACGACCTTTCGAATGGGGCCAATACCTAGTCGAAAATAGTTAATCGTGGGTGTGCAGCACGATATCTGTGTGATGAATCCGCGTTTGGCGCACGCAACTGCGTGAATAGTCGAGCAACTATACTTGCCCAAGAAAAATAATCGCATTTCCCGCGCTATTAAACCGTGATATTATTCGCACTTGATATTTGTTCTCTAATATGAGATGTACTTTCTTTTACATAAATTTCGACCGTCATCGTTTCCTTCGATATTCTGTAATCAAATCAGAGCCTTGATAATACGTTCTATATATACGTAGATTTTTTTCAAGACGGTAAATGCGATAATTTCTATTTAAATGCAAATATATACAACATATATGATATATGATACAAAATATGTTGATAGATTCTAATAAAATTCATTTGAATTAAAAATGTAAAATATTCTATCAACATTCTATGATGTATTTAATTGTTCAATTAAATAAGATTGATAGTATTTTCTCGCTCAATTAGGAACTTGAACTTTAGTGATTATTTCAATCTTCCATTCAAGATCATCGCATGGCAACAATAAGCGATTCATGATTGTACTTGCTATCTCGAGAAATATGTCAAGACTCACTTTTGAAATTTTTCTCGGAAATTCTAAGTGTATATACAATAAATTGAAAGCGAGATATATGCAATGAATATAAATTTAAAAAATATAAAGAATGGAGGGAATACATAAATCGGGCTGTTATAAATAATCGCACTGGAGAGAAATATACATTCGTTTAATTTGTATAAATATTTTATTTCTAATCATAATTGCAATATCGAAATGCTGTCCAATTTATCTTTCAATCCTGTCTTCCGCTTACATGTATTTGTATGTCTATATGTGAGATTTATATTCCCCTCTTCTATAATAATATTATTTTATCACTGATATTATTACGCTGATATTATCGCATTATATGTCACATATTACTTCGATTCATTACTTCACGATTATATCATCGCGTGACAATGCTCTTAGTCAAAATATGGCATGCGTGGGACATTCGGTTCCAATTCGAGATTTGGCGCGTAGCCGGGAACCCTCCAAAGGTTAACGATCCCCCTGCGGAAAGAAATCGATCGGACGCGGAACCGGAGCTGTCATCCTTGCCGCTCGCCGACTCCGCTTTCACTTATTCGCGATTATAATGCGAATTACGCGTTGCACGGGATTCCGTCATTTTCTCTTTCTCTCTTTCGAAAGCGCCAGACGACGACTCGCGATCTGCCAAATTGGCACGACACATGTCCATCAAATTCAAGTACGCGAAAAGGAAGAGTAACTT